GTCTCTGCAGGCACTTTAGTCTGCTGAGCTATCTAGCCAGCGCCCTTGTTGTTGGTTATCTGCGTTTTTAAGACAGGGTCTCACTATGCAGTTCAACCTGGCCCTGAGCTCACTCTGTAGCCCAGGATGGTTTCGAACTTGCAATGATCTTCCTGCTTCAACCTCCCCAGTGCTGGCGTCACAGGAGTGCACCACCACGCTTGGCATGTCTGAGTTTTAATACATTGTGCAGGAGCACGTTAGAAAAGATACTTTGTGAGCCCAACCACATATGACGTTTATGTCTGCCATCATCCAGGGTGCAACTGTTTGGCGGTGCTGAATTCAGCTGCCCCACGGGAGGGACCATCAGCTCCTGGGGCCACTCAGATAAGGGCGGTAAATCGCATGTTCACTCTTGGCCTCCAAACCTGCAGCCTCACTTTCAGTCCAGGCTGGGCAGGCAGAGAACCCTCGGCTGCCACTCCCGGCTGCTGCAGCTGTCGCCCGGCTCCTTGCGCGCCTCCCAGGACAAGGCTCAGGTGCAGCCGGCTATCTGCACACACCTGGCCGCCCGGCGTCTCTTTCCCCACGTGACCAGCGGGACGCACGCACTTTCCCAGCTGACGTCCCGCCTTCCCGGGACTCTGTTTCCCCACTCGGGGTGTTCCTGTGGGCCCAGCGACAAGCACCCTTGTCCTGCTCTCCGCCCTGCTGGGTGGCTTCGCCTGGGGAGCCGGGGTGGCTCGCTGGAGGACAGCCTGGGCGAGGCGGTGCTCGGGGAATCTTGGGGAGCTCACAGTCTGTATTAGTTACTCTTCCCTCAAAATGAGGGGAGGAAAGGTCTATTTAGCTCACAGTTACTGCAGGTTGCAAGACGCTGGAGGAGCGGCTGGGGGCTGCGGCGTCCAGGACGACCCTCCCGCATCTCTGAGAAAGCACAGGCTGCCAGTGTAACGGTTCGCGCCTCGGGCCCCGCCCTCAGGCCCCTCATTGCTCTTCCAGCCGCCTCTGCCCCGTAATGTACACGAGGCTTTAGAGGGAGAACTAGACACCAACCATAACACTGTCCATCCCGGTCCCCTCGCCAACCCTGCGCACTCCCCGGGGCTGCCGTGTGGGAGGGGCCGGCTGCGGCGGCGGAACCTCGGTGCCGGGTGCGCGCGTTTCCTGCCGGCGCCTTTTCCCAGGGACGCCACCGCCCCCTCCGCCCCCCTCCCCGTACCCGCCGGTCCGCTACCCCGGCGCCGCCGGCCCGGTGCTGCCCGCAAGCTCCCCGGACCCGAGAGGCCGCTGCACCGGGTACGGGGGCCGGGAGGAGGGAGGAGCCTGGGCCGGGGACCGTGAGCGGCCGGCGGGCGGGGGTGGCGGGCGCAGGGCGGAGGGCAGAGGCTGCGCCGTGGGGCCCGGAGGGATGGGGACCGAGGAGAGGAGGGACGCCAGGGTGTCCGAGGAAGGGCACAGGGCCAAGGGGAGGCGGCTGGGGTCCCGCCGCGGCCCCGGGAGAGGCGGCACCGGAGGGCAGCGAGGTGTCAGTGTCGCTGCACGGGCCGCGCACAGGCGGACCCGGGGAATGAAGCGGTGGCAAGATGGGGAGTAGAAAGCGGGCAGCGAGGTGCCCTCGGGGTGGCTGGTGCATGATGGGGATGATGTGGGGCGAGGATGGGTGGCACAGCGTGGAGTCCTGGGCGAAAGCGGGGAACTGGGTTAGTGGGGCTCCGGAGAGCGGAGGGGACAGGGGCGGCGGGACCTAGCCGGGGAGGCCTGGGACACCTGGAAGGGTGCCGGCGGCGGAGGGCGGGACGCAGCCCCGGCAGGGCACGGCCGCACGAGCGGGCAGGGCGGCCGGGGTCGGGCAGCCCCGAGGCTGGGGAAACCACGAGCAGGGGCGTGGGAGGGGACCTCGCATCCCGAGCTGCTGGATGGCGGCGGGGAGGTCGGGCCTGAGCTCAGTGTCTCCTGGCAGGGAACCGGTCGCCTCCTGGGGAGGAAAAGGCGCCCCTAACCTCTCTCCCCCGCCGCTCCCAGCTCCACTCCAGATGCTGCTGCTGCCGCCGCGGCCGCCCCACCCCCGGGCCTCCTCCCCCGAGGCCATGGACCCACCGTCCCCCAAGGCTCCCCCTTTCCCCAAGGCGGAGGGCGCCGCCTCCACGCCCTCCTCGGCGGCCGGGCCCCGGCCCCCGCGGCTGGGCCGCCACCTGCTCATCGACGCCAACGGGGTCCCCTACACTTACACGGTGCCGCTGGAGGAGGAGCCCCGCGGCCCCCAGCAGCGCGAAGCGCCCCCGGGGGAGCCCGGCCCGCGCAAGGGCTACAGCTGCCCGGAGTGCGCCCGGGTCTTCGCCAGCCCGCTGCGGCTGCAGAGCCACCGCGTGTCGCACTCGGACCTCAAGCCCTTTACGTGCGGCGCCTGCGGCAAGGCCTTCAAGCGCTCCAGCCACCTGTCGCGGCACCGCGCCACGCACCGCGCCCGCGCCGGCCCGCCGCACACGTGCCCGCTGTGCCCGCGCCGCTTCCAGGACGCGGCCGAGCTGGCGCAGCACGTGCGCCTGCACTGAGCCGCCCCGGCTCCCCTCCGCCCGCGGGAGCAGTCCTGCCTCCCGCCGCTCCCGGCTAGCTGTGTGATGTAGACCAAAGCGGTCGCCCTCCCTGCGCCCGGGAGCGGCGGGAGCTGCGCTCGGCCCGCTGTGCTGCGCGAGCCTGGCCGGGGCCGACGCCTCTCCTCTCCGAGGTCTGGCTTGCTGCTCCCCGGAGTGGCGAGCTGTTGTCTTCTTCGAGGAAGGCACGCCAAAAGGGCGCCCGCACAGTCTGGTTTGCGTCTACACCCCCTTCCGCCCACGACCCCCCATTCCTCGCTCAATAAACATTCCGCACTCCGTCTCAGGCTGGCTCTCGTGTGTTGCGTGCCGCGCTAAGCCCAGCAGAGGCCGGACCGCGAGCACCTGGGAACCTTCCGCTCGCGGTGTGCGTGTTTCCAGCCGGAGTCGCTCGTCGGCGCCCCGCGCGCTCCGCCCCCGCCGTCCGGCCCGGCCGCTCTTCGTTTCCCGGGTCTTCGCGCCCCTCGCCCGGCGTCGCCGGCCCCCGGGGACACCGGGTGGGCCCGGGCTTCCGCTGCTCGCAACTGCCAGAGCAGCCCGGGGCCATCCGGAGACGCCCGGAGCCTAGAGCCGCTGCACCGGGTACAGGGCGGGGCGCGCGGGCACCGAGAGGGCGGCAGGGGTGGGGTCGCACGCAGCAGCCGTGCGGCTGGGCGCGGGGCGGGGCGGGCCGGGGACGGCCGAGGATGGCCGGAGGGGAGGGGGAAGGTCCGCTGAGGACCGTGGGTGCGGGGCCCCAGCACACCCGAGAGAACTGGAGGTAGCAGGGCTGGCGTGGGGGCGTGCCGAGGGCCGGGCAGGACATCGAGACCAGAGGACGGAGTCCCGGGCTGTGCAGCCGTCTCCAGAGCGACCCCTGCTCCTCTGCACCCCCAGGCCCCAGCCACCCTCCGGATGCCGGCGCTGCCGCCCGCCTGCCCCCAGCCTCTGGCCCTTCCCTCAGTCGAGGCCATGGAGGCCCCGCTGCCTCGGACGGGCAGGTGCCCGGAACCTGGACCTTCCTCCTCTGCTTCACCTCCCCAGACTTCAACCTCTCCGAGGCCCAGCCACTACCTTCTCATTGACACTCAGGGTGTCCCCTACACTGTGCTGGTGGACGAGGAGTCGCAGAGGGAGCCCGGGCTCGAGGGGCCTTCGGCCCAGAAAAAGTGCTACAGTTGCCCCGTGTGCTCCAGGGTGTTCGAGTACATGTCCTACCTTCAGAGACACAGCATCACTCACTCGGAGGTCAAGCCCTTCGAGTGCGACACGTGCGGGAAGGCGTTCAAGCGGGCCAGCCACCTGGCGCGGCACCACTCCATCCACAGGCTGGGCAGCGGGCGGCCCCACGCCTGCCCGCTGTGCCCGCGCCGCTTCCGGGACGCGGGAGAGCTGGCTCAGCACAGCCGCGCCCACTCGGGGGAGCGCCCCTTCCAGTGTCCGCACTGCCCGCGCCGCTTTATGGAGCAGAACACGCTGCAGAAGCACACGCGGTGGAAGCACCCTTGAGTGGGATCCCCTGAAGGCCCCAGACCCCGCTGAATTGTAGGCAGCTTTCAGGCCCTGACACACACCCACACACACCCACACACACCCCTCCTACTGAGTTGAGCTTAGCCAGGAGGAGGAGCTGTGAGCTTTGGCCGAGTTCTCACACAGAACGGAGTCCTCTAGCCTAGAAGACTTGGGACATTCCTGGTGCAGTGCTGACCCAAGTGCAGATGGTGTGGGCAAACTCCTGCCTCACCCAGTGGCTGGGCACCCTCAGGAACCCTTGTCACGCACGCGGCCCGACGCAGGGCCTGCATCCGTGGTACCACAGGTACACTGCCTTAGTGGCGTGGAGCACGCTGGAGACAGTGTGATGGACGTCAGTGCAAACACAAAGAGCTCAGCTGGCCTGCTGGGAAGTGGCAAAAGGCCCATCCTGAAGACTGCGTCACCCCAGAAGTGTCTTAAAACTTTTTTAAAAACAGGCTACTGTGACATACGTGTTTTTATGACAGCTGGTATACAGATAGAGCACGGCAAACTTAACAGTACCTGCAAGTCACTCCGATATTTCGACCATAAGTTTTTAAAATGTAGAGCCCATCCTAACATTAAACTCTCTGCCCATGAGCCTATAGTTTGAAAAACACTGATCTAGGGCAGGTGGCTCCCTCTGGACTTTCTGACCCAGGCTGAAACTTCTCTGCAAAGCAAAGTGGGAGGGGAGCAGGCCACAGCTTCCTTGGCGAGGATGGGGGGCTCAGACTCCCCCTGTGCTCTCCAAGACTAGCGGCAGGTGAACGCAAAGGAGGCAGGTGGAACTGAGCCTCAAGCCTAATAAACATCGCCTTTTTGATGCCTTTTCATTGTTCCTTTTATGACAGGGCTTTTCCCCACCTCCGACCTCTTTTTGGGCGAGGAGCTGGTCTTCTGCTCCCACTCCGCAGAACAGAGAGAAGGCGCGTGTCGGGGCGGGCAGGGTGCTGACCCCAGGCGCCGCGCCGTTCCTTTACTGCACCCGCACAAGGAGCTCGCGCGGCATGGCGTTGTGCTTTCTCCAGTTACGGCTCAGCTCCGCCGGCCGGGGAGTAGCAGAGCAGCTGCGGGACTCCAGCCCGGTTCCACCGTCAAGTCTAGAGTTATAATCACTGGAGGGGGTGGTGATAGCTCCTGGACCCTATCCTTGTAGGTCTGGCCGAGGGTACTCAGATCTTTGGGGAAGGGGTCTCTAAAAGGTCAGTCTTTTTGGCTTCAACTTCCCCAACAGCCTAACCACTATCCGGGGTATCCCCGGCGCGGCCCCAGCTCTGCAGGATGGGAATTTCGCGACGCTCCCTGCCTGCGCTCCAGGGAGGGCGGCGGCGGCTGGGTGTGCTGCAAGGGGCCTTCGCGCAAGTGCGAGCTCCAGTCCTGGCGTCCACGGCCAGCTTCACCCGGGCGTGGGGATTCTGGAGGACGCGCGGCGCGGGCAGCACAGCACAACCTCGGGTCCTCTCCCGTGCTCTGCGGCTCGCCCCCGCACCACCCTACCGCCCGCTCTCGGGTGGGCGCGCACTCCTCTCCGTTCCCCGTGACAGTTTGCAGACGCTCCCCAGCGCCAGGCATGATGGACGCCTCCGCCGTGGATCCCCGGGCTGGATTCCGCGCGCGGGTGGGTGAGCGCGGGGAACCCTAGTCCTTCGGACCCGGGAACCGAGGGTGGGGGATGGTGGCCGTGTGCGCACCCCTGATGGCACCCCTTTGCAGGACAGTCCCATCCCACGGGACAAAGGGCGGGGGCGGAGGGGGCGCATCTCCACGCGCGAGCGTCTCTGCACCACGCATGCGCCCCAGCCCAAGCGGCCCGCTGCGGGGAGGGCCCGTCTCGCCCACGCGCGCGGGGGAGGGGCGCCCGGGAGAGGGCGCAGTGCGCATGGGCCGGACCCGGGTCCTCCGCTGGGAAGTTGGGGCACGTTCCCGCTGTGCGCACGGCCGCGATGAGGTCCATTCTACTCACGCTGGAGGTCCCCGCGGTGTCGACCCCAAGGGGAGTCCGAGTCCCCCGCGAACTTCTCCCTAGCACTGAGGTGTCAGCGCACCCAGCTTCCTTATTCCATAGACCCCCAGTTTGAAAGCCGAGTCCTGACCGGCCTCGAGCTCCTTCTCCCTCCCGAGCAGTGGGGGTTCCCCCTGCCCCAGGACTGACTCCGACCGTGGCCCCCGTTTCTGCCCGGTACCCCCCCGAGGCCGCCCAGGTCTTCTGCAGGAAGCCGGCCATGAGCGACAGAGGCAGCCGTCGGCGCACAAGTGAGCAGCCAGCTCCCCCTTTCCCTGCCCCGGGCCGCGTGGTTGGGGGCGGGTAAGGGCCCTCTCCCCTCCTCGTGACCCACGGGTCTCTCCTCTCTAGTGAAGAAGGACGATGAGGCCTTCGAGATCTCCATCCCCTTCGAGGAGGCACCCCACCTAGACTCACAGATCTTTTACAGTCTAAGCCCTTCACGAGGAGGCTTCGAGGGTGAGCCAGAGGGCTAAGGAGGGACCAGGGCCAGCGCGATGCCCTCACGATGTGGTGTGACCTAGTCCCCTTCCATACTCTATAGAAACCCCTGAGGCCGCGTCCCCCACACTGGCCCTGATGAACCGGGTGAAGGCCCAGCTGCATATGGCCCTGGAGCGGAACTCCTGGCTACAGAAGCGCATCGAGGACCTGGAGGAAGAGAGGGACTTCCTGCGGTGTCAGCTGGATAAGTTTATTTCCTCGGCCCGGATGGATGCAGGTGCGGGGCACTGCCACCGTCCTCTCAGTCCCTGGGCACCTTGGTGCCAGAAGTGAAACCCTGTTGGGTGGCTTTGTGGGACCTGGCATCTTGGCCTTCTCCCTAGACTTTCAGTTTGATGTCTACAATTGTTCCTCATTTCTGCATCTTCTGTAGGCACCCCTACCCCCGCCCGGCTCAGCCCGAGCCCACCTTGTTCTCCTTGCATGGGGCAACCATCCTGCCTTTGGCACCTCAGCACCCTTCTCTACATCGCATTGGGCTCTGCCAGTTCCAGGCATCCAGTCTGCTCACGCCTGATTGCTTAGGGCATCTGTCCGCCCTCCCACTGCAACCGCCCCGGGTTCATTCTTGCTTCTTTCACCTCAGAGTCCTTAAACCTCCTTCCAGTGGATTCAGCTTTTTCTCTGGGTGTGGATCTCGAGTGCCCCCCCCCCCCATTGCTGGAATTCAGGGCTCCCCTGCCTGCTTGTTCACCTCTCTGGACCAGTACTTGCTTCCTGGAGAGGGCTTCCCTCTGCCAAATCCTGAGGAACTCAGCCCCTTCTCACTGCATCCCACACACTCCATGCTGGGATCCCAAGGAGCTCCTGACAGTCATTCCCTCCATCTTGACAGGAACCTGTTTTTAGGTGGACCTGGACCTCCTGTCTCCCCATGGTGAGGGCCTCGTCCTCGGTGACTGCACTCCTCCTCCTGGATGGCCATGCACAGGGGCCTCTGGGCTTTCTTGGTGGGGACCCTGGTGCCCCCAGGTCTCCTGGAGAAGGCAGTCACTTTCTCTAACCTCCCAGGCTGAGCCTTGGTTTCTTTTAAGGGCCCATCTCTGGGTCTTCGGGCCATGTTTTCTGGAAGTCCCTCTGGGTTGGGGCAAAGTTTCCTGTACAGAATACCACAGTCATTCTCCGAAGGTCTCTGAACAAGGTGTCAAGTCTGCCAAGAAGCTCCCAACCCCAGCTGGCTCTCCTTTCTTTGGAAGGGCTAGGGTGTGGATGGCCCTTCCTGTCCAATATCCCCTTGGGGGTTCAGCCACCCAGGATCTGCTTTCCCTTGGGATCAGGGATGTGACGTTTGGTGTCACAGTTCACCTGTGTCTTTCCCCAGAGGACCACTGCCGAATGAAGTCTGGGCCCAGGCGGGTGGAGGGGGACAGCCGGGCTGGGGCTGGGGGCGAAGCCTCAGACCCCGAGTCGGCTGCCTCCTCACTCAGTGGAGCATCTGAAGGTAGTGCCAGTGACAGGAAGCGGCAGAAGCAGAAGGGAAGTGCCAGTCGGAAGCGCTTCGGGAAGCCCAAGGCCCGGGAGAGGCAGCGGGGTGAGCAGAGTGCATGGGTCTGATGTCAGCATCAGGGGGCTGCGGTGCAGTTTCTGCAGAAGCCCCGCCCTCGCAACTTAAAAAGAGCAGATGTGGGCCATCATCGAGCCTCAGCGTGTGGTCTGCCCTCACCAGCAGGGTGACCTCCTCACCTCTGTGAGCCGTTTCCTCATCAGAAAGAGGCGGCTCCTGGGCCCACCTCAGGAGGCAGCATCCACGCAGCGCTGGGGCAGGGTCCTGGTTGGGGCGCAGTCTGGAGCACCCGGTTCCCTAATGCAGCCTTTCATTTCCTATGTCCCTGCCTCCTTAATAACTGGTCCAACTTCTGAATCTTCTCTCTGCTCCTTTTGCCTGTTTTCCATTTTGGTCTCTTCTCCATTGCTTTTCTGACACCCCTGCCTGCTTCACTGACTGTCCTTTCCTGCATGTGTCCCTCTCCTCGCCTATCTGCCTTCCTGTTTCTATTCTGCTTCTCCTGTCTCTTGGTGCCCGCGCGTGCTGTGACTGCTTGTTCCCTTGGCCCTGCAGTGAAGGACGCTGATGGGGTCCTTTGTCGATACAAGAAGATTCTGGGCACCTTTCAGAAGCTGAAGAGCATGTCACGGGCTTTCGAGTACCACCGCGTGGACCGAAACACGGTGGCGCTGACCACGCCTATCGCAGAGCTGCTCATTGTGGCACCAGAGAAGCTGGCGGAGGTGGGCGAGTTCGACCCCTCCAAGGAGCGCCTGCTCGAGTACTCGCGTCGCTGCTTCCTGGCGCTGGACGACGAGACGCTCAAGAAAGTGCAGGCGCTCAAGAAAAGCAAGCTGCTGTTGCCCATCACCTACCGCTTCAAGCGGTGATGCCGCTCTGCTGCCCCCTGCGGACCCTCTGCTCCCTGGCCCTGGTGCAGGCGCACCTCCCTGCACCAGGCCTGTCCCTCGCCTGTTGGGGCTGTCACCTGTTTTACCCGACTTCGCAGGGGCTGGCCTCATTCCATGTGAGGCAGATAATTATTCAGAGCATTTAAATTAAAGAAACATGAAAATTTGGAATACACTGGGTCCCGGATCGTCAGCGGAAGGGGCGGCCGTCGCTACGGAGACGGGGGGTGGGGGGGCGGACTGGCGAGCTGGGAGGTTGGGAGCACAGGGTGTAATTAGCCCCAGGAGGTAGAGGCGGAGGGGGAGTAGCAGCCGTTCCGCCCCGGAGGTGCTGTCACTACCCGCAGGGCTACCTGGGCTAGAGGTGCCACATCAGAAGGCACCATCGAGGACCTGTAGTGGAGACAGACACCTGGGGAGCAGGCGGCTCGTGGACACGCCAGGCAGCCAGCCGGCGGGGGTGGCAGGCGGAACACAAGGTCGACCTTATCGCGGAAGTAGCATTACTACGCTGCAGCGCCCGCGCCACGGGACGGGCGCGACTACGCTCGCACGGTCGCAGGGGCAACCAGGAGAGGTTGCCGCCTTAACAGTCCACAATTTAGCAACTCAGCTCAGGGCGTGGAAAATCTCGCGCATGACTACTGCGCACTTTAGAGCCCTTTCCCCTCTCCCAGCAGCGGGAAAACAGGCCTTTACGCAGGCGCAGAAGGCCCTCTCGTTGCCTCCTTTCCAACGCGCGCAGGCGCAAAGAGCCGTCCTTGCAACCTCCGCAGCAGCCGCGCGCACCTTCACCGGCCGGCTGCATTTTTCTTGCGTACCGTCACAGGTCTCCCCGACTTCGGCCTTTTTTTTTTTTTCATTTCTGCTCTCTTCACCCATTGAGACAGATGCGGAAATCCAGGACTCCGTCCCCTATTCTGTATTCCTTCCCCTGACCCACCTCACCTCGGTCTCCCCGCCTATTTGGTTCTCAAAGCCGGAAGGAGCCGAACTACACACGGAAAAAGCCGAAATTGTACCACCTGAGCGAGGGTTTCCCGAAGCAGTGGCGGAAGGAGCCGAAGTTTCCCGGAAGGGGTGGAGTGAACGAGTGAAACCTCCGGAAAGACCCGAAGCTTGGGATCGAGCTTAGTCTCTAGAGGGACCCGAGGTCCGGCGCCGGAAACCTTCGGAAAGTGCTGAAGTGCTGGACGGATAGAATAGTTGAAGTGACCAACTGGTTGGACAGAGACGGCGGAGAGGAGACGAGCGAATCTTTGGACAACGCTAAAGACTAGGATAGTTTGAATTTTGAATTGTAACCCTTAGAAGGAGCTGGACGCAGAGGAACGCGAGGGCTCACGGAAACCTCCGAACGTTGAGTCGCTAATCTCCGAAAAGTTACCGAAACCTAGGAAGCCGGAGAAACCCTCTCTTCGGGTGTTTTCGGAAGGAGCCGAAGCCGTCGCCTGCCCACGCCGGTCGACCGTCCGGAAATAGCCGACACGCTTCGGAGCCAGGCTTGGGGGCGAGGGGCTGCTAGCTGGGGGACGGGCTGGCCGAGGGGGCGGAGCCGGGCGCGGGGCGGGCCGCTTGGGGCCTTGATTAGGTAGGCGACGCTGCGCCGGCGGCGGCCGGAAGTAGCCGAAGCCAGCGGCGGAAGTAGCCGAAGCGGCCAGAGCGGGCGGGCGGCAAGGCGAGGCGAGAGCTGCTCAGGCCCTACACGGCCCCTCCAGCATGTCGGACTTCGATGAGTTCGAGCGGCAGCTCAACGAGAACAAACAAGGTAAGGGCGGCGGGGTGGCAGGGTGGCGGCGGGTGGCCTCTTGCTTCGCTCTCTGGCCCCCGCCATCTTCCCCTGGCGTCCCTCTCCTCAGGGCCGCTCCGGGCCCCCCCCACCCCGCGGCGCGCGCCTCGTTCACGTGACAGCCGCCTTCCGCCCCGCGCGGCTAGGGCTGGGGAGGCGGGCGCGGCCCGGGCGCATGCGCGCGGCGGCGGCCCGCGCCCACGTGGACGCGGCGTAGGCGGTGCGGAGGACTCGACGCGGGTACCTGGATGCCGTCCTTTCCATCTTGGGGGAAAGAGTACAGGTTCGCGGCTCGGCATTTTTTCGCCCGCTGCTTGGGCTCTTCCGCTTCCGGTCGGGCGTACGGCCCTGTCTCCACGCCCCCTTTGTTTCCAAGATGGCGGTGGGGACGGCCGCTGCCACCTTCACGTGGACGAGGCGCCCCGCGCGCTCCGTGTGCTCCTCGGGCCTCAGGGACTCCCTGCTTAGGGCCGCCCGTCCCTCTTGGAAGGAGAGAGGAGACCACTGTGTCTGTCCCCTCACGCGCCCGTGTATGTGCGCCAGAATGGCTATGCGGTGTCTGTAGCCGATATTCCAGCGCGAGTCAGGCTCAGCTCCTGCTCGGTCCCAGACTCAGGGCACCTGGATTCAAGCCCCACATGCGCCCTACACGCTAGAGCCGGGTGGCGGGCGGGTGCCAGGCCCAGAGAAAGTGAGGGTATCCTCGTCACAAGACAATTTAGGTTTCTCTGGTTTATTAGCATTTCGTTTTGCAAATGAATAAAAGCTTAGGAAAAGAGCTTTGAATTTCTTGGCGCATGAGGCCTCGTAAGCCCGTATTAATTGGCTGTGGTGTGGGGGCGCTGGGACTTGGGTTTGAGTATACTTGTGTTTAGGTGAACAGCTGAGGTGTCAGGTAGTAGTGCTACTTAGGTATTTTCTTGGGGTTTCGACCTCCACTGTATTGCCGCGAGGCTTTTGAGAAGTTGCAGTTCACGTGTGTCAAGTGATTTGCTAAACTGTGATTTTGTTAAGTGGATCTTTTAGTAATCTCGGAGAACGGGAACACTTTTGAGAAGAAAACTGAGGTTTGCTACGTTTAAAGATTTTACTCCATCTCTTAGTGAGACAGCTGAGATTAGGTAAGGAAGAAAGCGTGTGGCTTTGCTTCCGTTAAGGTCCTAATGAGTGAAACTTGTTACTGTAATCGCGCATATTTAGGAAGGTAGTAGAAAATTAGGTCTTTGAAACACTCCCTTAGGCATGGCATGAGAATGGGCAGGGAAAGTTGCTTTCCAAGTGTAGTTTAGCCAGCTCCTCAGGATATCTGGGTGGGACAGACCTGACCCTAGTTTAAGAACAAAAAGTGTTAGAGGTTAAGTTGCACGGTTTTGTGCAGCTTACCTGCCATGTGGAGCTGCTGTAAGTGATCCCGAAGCTGTTGAAAGTATGTTGTTCTGGTTCTCCTAGGCTGCTGCTTGGCACATCTAGCTCATCTGGCTCGGTGCAGCTGCTCCCACCGCAGTAGTCTGAGCACAGGAAGCTCCCTTTGTGTTTTTTGCAGTGCTATAAGGGAAGACTGAGTGCCTCCTAGCCAGCCTTTTGGCACCTGTTTCATTCAGCTTCATGCTCTTCAGCTTTGGTCCAGGCACCTGGTGAGGGGCGCTGCTGCTTTCTGTGGCAGTGAGCCTGCCAGAGCCCAAAGGCTCAGGGAATTCCTAGTCTGCTTACAGTGGCAACACAGACCCCCGCCCCCACTTCCTTGCAAGGTGCACTCCCCAGAAGCCCACACTGTGGCTGGTTTCTGATTCCCCTCGATTTCTCTCTTGACCCGGGTCTTTGTTTGATCTCTGAGGATTAAAAATCCTATTGGCAGAGGATGGGGTGTTCTGCCTGTCTCCTCCAGGAGTTTGACTGGCAACCGTATTACAGTCTCAATTCAGTCTGGTGCTGCCACTGTATACGAATCTCCAGTGGTGTTTGTCCAAAGCGGGGATGAAGTTTAAGTGCAAATAAAACTAGTGTAAGTTTGGGTTGTATGAAGAATTTTAGTGTTCGATTTTCTTGAGTTTTAGTGGCTCAAGTTGAGGTGGGTTTACAAAAAGTTAATTCTGTCGTGGTGTATGTAGGACAAATCATTGTGGTGAAGCTGAAGTCTCCTTTGTCATTCTTTTGTGGCTTTTCCTCCAATCTCCAGGGATGGAGATTTTGAACTGCAGAGCCTGTGCCTGATGGATAGTGAGAATTCAGGTGGGCTTTGAGCCAAGGAAGTGTGTGTCGTAGTGCTGCCACTTGGCTGCCACTGTGCAGAGGGTCGTGTAGAGGGTCCTGAAGAGAACCAGGATCTGTGGGGCTGGAGGTGTCTGGGTAGGCTGCCAAGGCTGTGCTATTGGACACCTGCCTCTTGAGCTGAGGCCGCCACACCTAGTGGGCCCTGGTGGCACACAGGTTCCTGCTCTCCCAGACTTGCCTATGGCGTGAGGGAGTGGGCCTGAGGGTTGTGTGGTGTGGGATTCCAGTGGAGGGGAGACTGAGGCAGTCTGTTCCCTAGAGGGAAACGTTCCAAACCCTGGAGTACCTCTGCATCATTGACCTGGCCAGGAAGGGATGACATTGTTTCCCACATCCTGGGTTACCAGAGCCTGCCTGGCCCGCCCCCAGGCCTGATGTTGGGTGGAGGGTGCTGGTTGGTTGCAGAGGTCTTTCCTGAGGGGTCGCTGAATCCCTCCAGGGGAACATCTTTGGGTCTCTTGATTCCTCAGCGTCTAGCCCTGCCCCTCTCAGGGACAACCCTGGGGTCAGACCCTCAGCCCTCAAGGGGGACCAGGAGGTAGCCTCCTCCGTCTTTGGCTCCTCAGCTGTTGAGCATCCTCAGGTATATTGTACCATCAGGGCATTTCCGGGCCCAGTCTTCTTGTCCCCTTGAATCGCCAAGGACTCCTGTGTGCTGCCAGGAGGCTGTGGGCTTACTTTCCTGCTGTACTGCATCCTGTTCCTCTGGGGTTGGTCTCCCTGGGTGCCCAGGGTGGGCTGGGCTCTTGTTGGCCTCTGCTCATGTATCCTGCCTCCTTTTCCACTTGTGCCCAGAGCGGGACAAAGAGAACCGGCATCGGAAGCGCAGTCACAGCCGCTCTCGGAGCCGGGACCGCAAGCGCCGGAGCAGGAGCCGAGACCGGCGCAATCGGGACCAGCGCAGCGCCTCCAGGGACAGGAGGCGACGCAGGTAGGAAACTGGGCAACCTATCCTGGTCAGCCTGGGAGTAGGGAGTTTGCTTGCTGGACCCCTGGAGCTCCTCTGGTGACTGAATGGGAGTGGGCAGAAATCTGTGCTGTGTCCAGGTCCTTGCCTTCCCTCTGCAGCTCCTCACACTCTGTGGTGGTCCCATTGAGTCTTCAAGAGGGAGTTGTGGTAGTGGTCTGCTGGGGCAGTTGTCCTCTAGCTGGAGATGGGAGCAGGTTCTGCCCTTTCCCCATAGGGCTGTCCTCTGGCCCTGACACTGGGGCCTGGTTCTTGGCCTTGTGCTTTACGTGGCTTTCTCTGGGTTTGTCCGTGGAGAGCTGGTCTGTGTCCCAAAAGGCGCCTGTCACGTATCTCATTCTGGGATGTCAGTTTTGTTCCCCAGCAGCATCTGTGCTGTCTTTCTCTGTTATTTGTTCTCGTAGGTGAGGAGCGTAGGGTGTTTTGTAACCTGTCTCAGTTTCTTGGTGGAGGGTTTGTCTGCTGCTGCTGCTTTTCTTCTCTGTTCTGGGGCTGGTAGGGGTTTGGGTGGGTGGAACAGCAAGGCTGAGTGGGGCTTCTTGTTCTTGGCCCTGCCCCAGCCGTGGGGCTCAGGGCCCTTGTGGGGTGTGGTATGGGGAGGCCAAGGGTCCCCAGTCACCCCTCCCCATACCTTTCCCTCCCACCCCCAGCAAACCTTTGACCAGAGGCGCTAAAGAGGAGCACGGTGGATTGATGTGAGCTGCTCTTCCTGCCCTTCTGTCCACTTCCACTCCCTTCCCCTCCCTCACGTCCTGTGCACCCTGCCTGGCCCCATCTCCCCTGTCCTAAGCACTGGCGAAGGGTCCCTTGCCTGGCCCTGCCTGTTCTATCCCTGCTGAGAGAGGGATGCTTCCTGGGTGGGGGTGGAGGAGCCTGGGAGGGGTTCTTAGGAGGATGCCTGCACCCGCAGTGGGTCAGACTGAGGGGCCCTGCTCGCTGTCCCTCCCTCTCCCAGCCGCTCCCCCCGCCATGAGAAGAAGAAGAAGGTGCGTAAATACTGGGACGTGCCGCCACCTGGCTTCGAGCACATCACCCCGATGCAGTACAAGGCCATGCAAGGTGGGCCCTGCCCTGCTGCTTCTGGGTGGGGGTCGAAGTGTAGGTGGGACTCACTGTGGAGGATTCCTGGGTGGTGCTTGGTGCTGGGGCCCAGTGGAGTGGGGCCTGCTAAGGGCCTGCCAGAGCTCTGCAGAGGGAGTGGCCTTCCTGAGGAGAGGTGGGGGGTCTTGGAATTTGGATTAAGAATCATGTTTTCTGCTGTCCTCCAGCTGCCGGCCAGATTCCAGCCACTGCCCTTCTTCCCACCATGACCCCTGACGGCCTGGCTGTGACCCCAACGCCGGTGCCCGTGGTTGGGAGCCAGATGACCAGACAGGCCCGGCGCCTCTATGTGGGCAACATCCCTTTTGGCATCACTGAGGTACTGCCCTTCCCCTGCCCCACCCTCTCCCTGTCCCTCCCTCATTCCCCTCCCTTCCGTCCCCTCCCCACCTGCACGGGTCAGACTCTGCTCCTGCAAGACCCCCCGGCCCCCTCCCCGACGGACGATGGAGTTGAGCCAGCCAGGGGCCGGGCTGGGGGTGGCCCCTCCCTCCCTCCCTCTTCCCTCTCCGTCTACCTCCCCGCCTCCTCAGCAACCCGGGATCACATACACACTACCAACTCCATGTGGTACCTACATGTCGGAGAGAGAGGGAGACTCGACACACATGCGCGCGCATACACAGACGCACGCCCCGCAGCGCTTCCTGACACACTCTCCTCTTCTGCCGTCTGTCCCCATCCTCTCCCCCACATCCTCCCATGGTCGCTGTTCTTAATTTTTGATTGCCCTGACCTCCCCCTCCCCACCGCTCCTGCCCTCCCCGGCCCTTTCCCTACCCCTTCCCGTGGCACCCCTGAGAATCCCGAGATCAAAGAGTTGTTTCCATTTCTCTTTAAAGTGAAATATTGTGGGGCTGAGATCCCTCGTAGCAACAAAAAGTTTGCTACCATCGTCGAAGGCAAGTAAGGTCCATTCTGACTTTCTCAACCTGCACTTTGCTACATTTGATAAACCAGCCCCCGGACTCCAGGGCCAGATCCCTCCACATCACTCTTTTCTCCTCCCCTCCTGCCCTGCCCCTCCCGCCCCACACTCGCCTCCTTCTCCCTTTCCTCCTCCTCTTCCCTGTCTGCTTCCCTTTCTGTCTCTTTGTCATATTTTCTGGTCTGCTTTTGTATCACTTTTTTGTCTTGACTGCACTATGTGTTTGTATGTTCCTTGTCTCCTGTTCTGTGTTATTTCCCCCCTCCCACTTTCCCTGTTGTTTATTTTTTCCATCTTTTCTCAATTTTTCTGGTGGGCCCCTGTGGCTCCCTTTGTGCCTGTCTGCCGCCCTGTGGCTCCATATCCTGTGCTTGTCCTTTGTGATTGCTTCCTCCTGTCTCATTTCCCTCCCGCTTTGATTCCCACTATTGACCTCTCCGCCCCTCACCCATGCTCCACTGTCCCACCCTGCCCTGCCTGTCCCACTCCCCTCACCCCCAAACCCTCTGTGTCTCCCTCTCTCACCCTTCCCCTCCTCTCTCCACCTCCCTCCCCGCCCCCTGTCTCCTCTTCCTCTGCAGGAGGCCATGATGGATTTCTTCAACGCCCAGATGCGCCTGGGGGGGCTGACCCAGGCTCCTGGCAACCCGGTTTTGGCTGTGCAGATCAACCAG